TTCCCACCCCGCCCTCCGTTCCCTCATCCAAGCTGACCTCCCTCAACCCGAGAAACTTGTTTTCGGTCTTAATGACTGCCTCCTGGGATCGCTTAACCTTCGCCCCCTTTACGACCTGAGCCCAATTACTAGCCACCTGGGAGTCGGCACTCGACGCGCTGTCAAAGGACGAAAGGGCCACCCTCCCAGTAATTGCGGCAACGTCAGGGGCGAGTAAACGATTACCGAAGCATATTCGTTTTTAGGCCAATTTTTAGGCTAATTCAGTTTTAGACTTCCAGAGGTTGAGCTTAACGTACGGTGTCCCTCAAACGTTAGATGAGGGATTCCATCGTGGGAAATGGTGGATAAATCCGTTCTGAGTCATGCCTGCAGCTTTTTCACGGATATATTTAGCAGGAGGATCTGCAGTCACGATGTGTAAATAGAATTGTTTCACCACAAGCTAGGCTTAGCTGAGGACAAAATTCCGCATCCCTCCCTTCTTGGGGTCTGAAAGAGTTACGTCAATGGACCTTCCCTCAGCTCAGTGTGCACACTGGAGTCCCTTCTGATCATCGCATCATTGACCAGTGTAACATCATGTCCATGATTATAACATATATATGGAACAGGTACAATGGCAGGAATGGGAATCATCAATTCTTGAGTGCTTCCTCTTTTAAACTCTGCCCATAATGTTCTGTTGAATGCATGGGAACATGCTTCAGAGTTGCTTCCCTCCCTCTCTACACTGTAACGGGTATTATACGTTATGTGCACACCCCCCCCCCCCCCCTTATGCACACCACTATGCACACCGAGTTCTGCTTAGGCTACATCACGTGCACACATGTCACTATGCTGCTAGGCCCCAATCAGGTGTGCCTGGAGCACACTGTCGTGGCNAAAATGAATTTCTCAATTCCAAGAAGTTCTTAATGTGAGGCAAACTATGCACACCGAGTTCTGCTTAGGCTACATCACGTGCACACATGTCACTATGCTGCTAGGCCCCAATCAGGTGTGCCTGGAGCACACTGTCGTGGCATACTGTAGCTATTCCATTTCTTTAAAATCATGCCCTCTCATTCATAGGCCTGCATGAATAGTCCTAGATAACTAGAATTCTACTATCATTTCTGGGGGCATTGCTGCCACCCTATGCTAATGTTATCACTCCAAAATTTATTTTCACTTTTTTGCACTCCTGAGTAATAGAAAGATAAGGTTTGAAACAATAAGTGAATGGTGTCCCAATCTCCTCATTCCTGCCTAGAGAATCTCCTTTTTCCTTTGCAAGATGGAAATAGGCCCTACACATTTATACATGTGTGTGAGGTTCTATTGAGAGTGATATAATTATATTATTATTGTAGAGTATTGATGTAAGGATGAAGGGAGAAGACTGCAGTGAGCACAGTGTAGGTATAGAAGTACAAAACATACCCGTTGAAACCACTCTGGCAGCAAAATGAATACACACCCTACTTTCAAATATGTCAAGAACATGAGTACTCCAGGCATGGGAGCTTATGATATGCATACATGCATAGGTATGAGTGTGTCTTTTTTGTGAAGCACAAGCAGGGCTCTGTACGCTATTGCATTGGTGTGCTTCCAACGTACAATACCTATTATTTTCTTACCTATAACTACTGCAAATTTAATATATCATACACCATTGTTTTTGGTAAATATTTCCTTCTACTTGAGCATGTACTCCTTGTCATATTTTCCTTTCATGCATTTTTTGAGGCCTTAAAATATTTGATCATGATATATATGTGCCTCTTGATAACATGCTTATATCAGTTAGGTCACTATTGAAAAAAAAGTGTAACTTTGCCTTGTAATCTTTGTGTTTTTTGAATTTCCTTGATACTTCCTCATAAAATTTATAATAGATGGTATTGTGCTGAGACTTTTCTCAAAAGCCTTTTAAATTGAAGTGACCTTGTAGACTTCTTGCCAAGGCATGTAACAGAAAAACTGTTTTCTTGCAGCCAGTTAGAATTTGAGAAGAAAGAAGGCCAACAAAACCCATTCTTCCTACCTACAATGATATTTTTAAAATATCTGATTGGTAGTTAGGCCTACTCTGCAATACTTCAGTTATAAATGGTCAGATTCACTTTTGCTTATTAATTTGGGATTGACACTACTTTGTTTTGTGAAATGTGGCCTGTCTGACTAATTCCTGCTCTAGATATTGAGTACCAATAGCATCATCTTAGAGAAGTAGGTTGCATAGTTTGCCTCACATTAAGAACTTCTTGGAATTGAGAAATTCATTTTCATGTATGAATTAGTGTCGAAATCCTTGATACTAAGATGTGTGATCACATTGATCAAGGGATGTTTTACAAATCTGAGAACCATAACATTAAGATAGGAAAAAATTTAGGAAAGTAGGCCTAAGGTCAATGGAAGAAATTCCATTTCCTAATATTGCCAAATTCCTGTTTCTTGCAGGTTTATACTATTTAAACCTTCACTTTTACTGTATTACAGGCGTTCTCCATGGTTTTAGTAATGAGGTTTGATGGCTTAATACTTCCACATGCTGACCTTGATATGTAATCGTGAATGAGACCTGCCTCTTGATCTTTTGCTATGTGGCTCGTGATACAAGAGTGACCCCCTTCGATTGGTTGTTTAAGCTGAAAAGAAAGAGTGATGGATACGCTATTGACAGAAGTTCCAAGTTCTCTAAAGCAATTGGCTCGACTTGTGGTACGTGGATTTTACTCCATAGAAGATGCACTCATCATTGACATGTTGGTTCGGAACCCATGTAAGTACTTGAAGTATTTATAAATTTATTTATTATTTATAATAGGTAGAAATATTCTAGCATGGCTTTGGTTGCTGTGGATATAGATTGAGACAATAGGGCTGTTAATTTTTGCCCATTTTCCAGAACCACAAACCAAATTTTCATTGCATTCATATCATTAAGTGAACTGGAAACTGAAACTTTGGTGATTTGGGCTACCACTTTAAGAATGATGACCTAAATGACATTTTTTTCCCCTCTGCAGCAAGTTCTATATGCTTTCTGTTGGTGGTACCACTCATGGCTCATCAATCAATAGTTTATTTAGGATTGTAATGAGTCATGAATGAAGAGAAGTGAGTCATAATTATAATAATAATTGAAATTCTGAGGTACCTGCTGAGTTATGAAGAATTTGAGTGATTAAGGAGAGAAAATTAACATGGGAAGAGGAGGGTAGAACTCCTTGGCAGATTAACCTATTTGCTGTTCAGCCTGTCAAATGTTCTTCCACTCCATGGGTGTCTTTTTTGCTAGCAGCTCTTCTAGCTCTGCTGAGGTCACCATCATCCAATGATGTCGTTTTAAGGTTTAGTTTCCCAGTGTTCTCATAGTTTGCTATGTTCTGCTTGCAGCTGCTTGCCCAATAGTGGCGTCATTCCATGACATGGTTTTGCCTAGCCAACGTGTCTTTTTCACCAGCAGCTGCTATTGGCTGGAGAAAAAGACATGTTCTTTCTCTTGAAATGATGTGAATACATGTCTCTTTCAACTCATGCAAGGGGAAGAGTGGAATGACTGGAAAGAGAAAAGCAGACAATAGAGCAGAGAGAGGGGATGAAATTACTGAGACAGATTAATGCCTAATGCTTCGTTCTTGATTCCTATACTCTCAATACCAATCTGCCAATCATAATTCTTGATACTTACTGTACTGAATTTAGGAACCAGATAATGAGTCAGTCAGTGGTGACCAGGAAACTCGGACTAATTTTCTAGCCCCAAAGAAAAGCATGGAAGGAGAAAGTGAAGCTCTGGTTCTTGGATTAGGTGATTAGTGATATACTGCCAAAATATATTAGCTGGGGAGCTAAGCGATGTTATATAGGATTTATTCTGTTGCTTGACTAGTGCCTGACTTTGTTAAGTCTCCTTCTGGATCCCAGAACGTAGGCTGGTATTTATTTAGGCTAAGTGTAGCACTCTTGAATTTACTGGCACTTAAATTTTGGTCAAAAGTGACAAAAGAAATATTTGGTGCTTCTGGGAGGATGATTTGATTCAAAAGGATCATATAGCTGGTTAACATGATATAACAAAGGAACACCAGCAATTTAAGACCAGGCATTCATGAGGGGAACTTCCATGTTTAATCTCAGACGTTTTTTATATTGAACCCATAGCTGATGAAAAGAACTCTTGACATTAGATTGTTATGCAACTGAAGATGAGTTAACTGATTGAAATTTTGTAGGCATGAAGGATGATGATATATGTGAGCTTTTGAAGTTTGAGAAGAAAATGCTGAGAGCACGAATTGCAACTCTCAAGAATGACAAGTTCATTCAAGTACGCCTGAAGATGGAGACTGGTCCAGATGGTCGTGCACAAAGGGTTAATTATTATCACATCAACTACAAGGTAAGCTAGGCCATGTGCATGTAGACATATGTCAGCCATCTCAGGCTATTGTATTGGACAAGTGTTTTTCAGATCTAATTTTTTATTTCTTAAATTACCATCCCATTGTGATTTTCAGAGATTTATTATCTTATATTGTCTCCATATCTGTATTTTTAATATGTAAGGATGTAACTTTGCTGCAATGGATAAGAAAGAATTGTTAAGAAAATGTACTGCATCTGTAATGTGATTTGTTGAAGTACATGAAGGAAAGGATTAGCACACTTCATGAGGGCATGAGGTGTGATAATAATGTTTAGGGAAAGGAGTCTTTAAGCTGGGGAGGTGGCAGCTTGCAGAGCGCCTTGCATTTGTCTCTTAAGGTACATAATCCTTCTTACCTTCCTTATATTTGTATGTTACCTTGAATTTGAAGATTAGAGGCAATCATATCCAATGCCTAGTGCTGCTCATGCTAAGCTTTAAATTTAGCATTATATCTTAACAAGCCAGGCACAGTTCATAATTCTTAAACTTGAGCAAAAAATGTTTGTTACATGTTGCGTTGATCTATGTCCTCTTCTTTTTCCATTCCAGACATTTGTGAATGTCGTGAAGTACAAACTGGATCATATGAGAAGGAAGATGGACACAAAAGAAAGAGATGAGACAAGTCGGGCATCTTTCAAATGCCCCAGTTGTCTCAAAACTTTCACTGACCTTGAGGTATACTCCTATTCACCAAAGGCTTCCCTTTTTATTCCATCCCTAATCACAGCCTTGTCCATGCATGGCAGTATGTATGACTTTGAAAATGAAATAAACCTGGACCAAAGATCTTATGAATTTAGAGTAAGAGCATCATGACCAGTTTATTTGGCATTTTGAGGTTTTTACCTGTAGTCAGTCATAAAACATGAAATTTCTAAGTCCTAAATTTTGTGCACTTCTAGTCAGAACCCATTTGATTATGATTGATTGTAAATCATGGTCAGGGAAAAATCAAAAGGATCTGACCCTTGGTGCAAGATGTCAAATGTTTTAACCCCTTGGCATCATTTCACTGTGTACACTGTCATGGCACCTTCTTTAAATTAAACTTTTTTTTTTATCTAAAAAAAAAAGTATAATGGTGGACACACTAGGTTTGGTTTGAATTATGTAGTAAGGTTTGTGTATAGTCCCTGTATGAATTCCTAGCAACTATGGCTTAAGTTAACACAAGTTAAAGTATTGAAGACTTGAAATTTTCAGGGGAAAAAACTATGATGCTGAGGGATTTAGAATCATGCTGGACTTGTTGCAAGTTGAATCAAAAGCAAGGATAATGCTGGAAAGGAAAATATTGGATGGGATGGTAAATAAAGGATTTTGGCCTGTTGGTATGGTCCTTGGCCTGTCAGACAAATCATGAAAAGAGGTAACACAATTCATCATGTATGATTTTCCACCTGCTATATTGATAGTATGCTGCTGATTTATTGATTGATTGAGAAACATTGTGTAAAACCTAAATTTTCCACTGAAACATCAGTACACTGGTTAATCTCTGGATCTGACTGTGAATTCCTTTTTCATTTTTATTTTAAAAGGCTTTTAGCACCATTCCCTTTGTGCTGAAGATGTGTTTAGCTATGTGCTTGAAATTCCTCCTGTTCATTAACAATCGTTATGAAAATGAATCTTGATGGAACCTGTGAGGCAATGATTTCTGGTTGGTGGTATCCCAGTAAAAAAATTCCAGCTGAATTCTCTAGCTGGACCCAGGCTGGTCAAGCAGACTTGTTCCATGTAAGCTTTAGCAGTTGGTTCCAGTCATTAACAAGTAGGAATCTGGGGATTTGATCAACCATCCAGGTTGGACCAAATCTATTTTATTAATTTGAGAGTAGTAAGAACTTGATAGCTTATAATTATGTGGCCTACCTCCAGCTATAATATGGGAATGAAGCTGGTAGCCCCACTACTTCTAACAGGCCATGTACCGCTCATTCCATTTGTTGCCATCATCTAGACCACTCAGGTATTAACATTTTGCATATGGGTCATGTAGAAAGGTGTGATTGTCCATCCAAGTGTTGCATATGGATCATGGAGTACTACTTTTTTGTGCATCATCTCACAGATGTTCACAGTACTGCTCTCTGGTGCATTTTTTGTGCTCGTGTGAGAAAGTGTGCTTTTTATGTAACTGAGGTTGCCTTTATTGACATTTTGTTTCCCTGTTTTTAAAATGGATGCCATATACAACTCTAGTGTACATCAGTCATTGTGCACTGGCTTCCTGTCAGTTTCTTGTTTTGTGGCATGTTCTCATAGCCACATCAGCTCTCACGATTTTTCCAAATTGTGGAAATGGTTGTACCATTGGTCTGAGAGTTCATGAACGATGTCAGCTTCACCCACTTTTTATTAAACAAATTCTGCACACTTTCTTATCAATTGTGAAGGCTTGCCACTTTTTCTTTTCTCCAGCCATGTCAACAAGAAATGCAAATGGTGACTGAAGATATTATTATCTTTTTAGTTACTGGGGGTTATACCTCCCTCACCCTCCTCCAGTCACATCCATATGACTCCTAAGGAATGCTGATTCCAGGAAATAAGAAGTTGTGGCTTGCCAATGCTCATTTTTCCAATGAAAATTCCAGTTAGAAATAATGAATTATGGACGTCATCATTATAAATTTTGTCAGTGGGACCTTGAATAGACTTCAGTAAAGCTGAGGTTCTCGCTACACCTGAGGTAAAATTTCATGTACCTCATGGTCCCTGCCCCAGGACCTGGTGCTCTCTGTCATTATAACTAGAGATGCAACGATATTGAATTTTGACCGATATCCGATATACCGATAATTCCGATATTGGAAAAGAACCGATACCAATATCTATATATACATTTATAATTGCACATTCAGGGTAGATTTTGAACAGTGAACTATCTGATAACACTGCTTTATTGCCAGGAAATGTGTGTTTACCCCAGAATAAAGCTGCATTATCAGATTGTTCTCTGTTCAAAAATCCACCCTCAGGCATTAACCCCTCCACTTTTAAGTTTTATTTGGGGCCAGGTCTGATGGAGAAAGCT